GCTAATTATTCCACTGAATATAATAAATAAATAAATAGAAAATAATTTTTTTATTTCTTTTTTGAATACCGAGATAAAACAAGATAATTGTTACATTATCATCTATACATAGAATTAAAAAAAGAATCAGTGAGTTTAAAAGGTATAAATTCCAGTTTTTAGTTGATTTAAAAAATAAATAAGGTGTTGAATATAAATAGAAATAAAAATATATATAAAATAATTTTAATAAGTAAAAAAATAATTTAAAGAAGTTGAGTTGATAAATAGTTTGCAATTTAAAAATAAAAAATAATTTTAATTTATAATTTTATAATATATATTCCCTCTGTTAAAAATGTAAGGTATTTTTTTAGGAGTTTGATATTAAAAAATGTAAGGTATTTTTAATCTTTTAAAATGTAATCATTGCCTTTTTTTCAAAAGTGCTTCTATTGATAAATGACTTTATATTTATTGTAAGATATTTAATAGGGATAAATATGGAAAGATAAATTAGTTTGAAAGAAGGTAATTATTTTATTAGGAATGAGATTTGATTAAAAATACCTTACATTTTTAAACGGAGGAAGTATACACTACTTATTTTTTGCCCACTTAATTCGTTAGCCTTCCTTTGAATAGATTAAGTAATTAATATATTAGATTAATATAGTACAGTAAAATTAAAACAACATATATAAATCTTAAAGATATAATGGCTTTTTAATATATTGTTTCTTCGAACAAATACTAAGTATAGTATCATTCATTTTAGTAAATGAATGACCAATAGGATATATGTTGATGCCAAAAAAAAAAAAAAAACCAACAAAGATAGGGGTCACCACACATATCCATTTTAAACATTTAAGCATAAAAAAAAATTCGTTTAGATTTTATTTTTTGTATACTCATATAAGTTTAGATGAATAAGATTTTATGACAACAAATAAATAAAAGATATTTCAAGATCGGGGTTTTGAAAAATAATTGTTTTTAAATTTCTAATCCTAATCTTGAATTTTAAAATACATCTTAAAGATTGTTTGATCTCTCACCCTCAGGTATTGAAATTAGATCCAAATAAGAAAGGGGCAGCGGCTTTTTATTTTCATTTTATATTTTAACATTTATTTAATTTCTTAAAAATTACATATATTTAATTTATTCAATTGGCAGTATACATTTTCTTATTTGATTTATTTTCATTTTCAAATTTTTATTTACATTTTTAGTTTGGAATTGTTCACCCTCTCTCTTCTCAAAATTTATCCCCAAGTTTCTCTGGTGAGGTGGAGGGTAAAATCAATTCAATCAAGACAAGGTGTGCTAATAATAGTGCCTTCCCAAGGATTGAATTCCTAAGGGTTTGGCATGATATACATCCCTAAGTTTTGATTCTACAATCTCTCATACAAAGCAAAAAAGTAGGCAAAATTGATACCATTAAGCTAATTGTACCAATGTTGCCTCCTTCTTCACTTCGTAAGAGAGGTTGCGGGGTCAAACTCTAAGGGTATGTGTTACGTCAAACCATTGAGAATTCAACTATTGAGAAGGTTTTGGAAAAGTTGTACTGCCAACGTAACGTATTCTATCCTAAGTAAATTGAATTTAAAAGAGTCTTATTTTTTGTTTCACCAAGAAAATTTGGAAGGTAAATTTTGAAAAGAGAGAGAGCAAACAAGAATATAACAAAAAATTAAAAGAATACTAACTAATTATTCAGCTATATCACCCAAAAAACACAAAGTTAACTTTTCTTCGAAATTTTCTTCTCTAAAACAGTGGATAAAATATAGGAAATTCTTAGATATAATGAATTCATAAAGAAAAGTAAATTCTATGAATTATTGACATTAGACATCGAGTACCGACATAACGGACAAAGATGACTGGTTCTTAGCCACCGAACAATACAATCATTGTGAAAAGTATGTTGACAGGGCATTGTTGAAACCTCCATGCTTTCATTAAGATCTTCGAGGCAAATGCAGCATTGCATGTCTAAATCTTCTTCAAGCTTAATTCTGTTGAGTGATTCGATGACTTCTTTAGTTGCAGGAGTCATCTTAATTTCTTGCATGTATTCCGATACGATCCTTTCTTCGATCTCCTCAACATCCACACCAATAGGTAATTCAATGATAATACCAATAGCCAAAGGCCGAACCAGGAAACAATGTTCAAAATCGAAGGTAGGATTAGTATTACAGTACAGTCGTAGAGCTCTTTTCATGATGTTGGGTATTAGTTCATCAAGGACTTCGACGGTGAGTAAATCATGAAAGAGAAGATTGTTTCGTAGAAAAGTTGGACCATTTGAAGAAATTCATAGCATGATATGTAATGAGAAGAAAGTAGTGGAGGAATATGGAACGCATAAGTTATCAATCCTTGAGAACTTCGTCTTTCAAAACGAACATAGAGTTTGACATTGAAATTTATCGTTGAAGTGTGTTGGTGGTGTTGGTTGGGTATGCTATCAAAGATTTCAGGAAAATCATGTTCATTAGAAACACGAAAGCCGCAAGGTAATGTGATAGTTGACATGATTGAGAACTCAGAAAATAATGACTAATGTGAATCGAATATTGTGAAAATATACCAATGGTGCTACACACACACGTACATATATATATTTATAAAGCTCTATATTTAAATCAACTCAAAAGAGTATGAGATCTATCACAAAGACGCAGCATCTTCAAGATAACAGATAGATACAATTGAATTTTAAATTTTTTATTTCTTAAAAATAATTTTTTTTTACTAAAAGTAATCTTGTTTGAGATATTGTTAGGTATTAAAAGATTAATATATTAATATGTTAATTTATTAGGAGAGATTAATATTTTAGATTAAGATAAAGATATATAATATAAAAAGATAAAAAAAAGGTCAATGATAAGGATATATATTTGTTTATTTTTAAGAAAAAAACTGATATACATAGTTCTATATGCTTTCAATATTTGCTTCCAATCAAATTAAGGCATGTGAATTTTTATAGTATACTATAATAAACTCTTTTCATAAATATTATTAATATTTTAAAATGTATTTTTTTATTTTATTAGATAAAAGTATATTAAGTATATAATAATAAGTATATAAGTCTTCCCTTGTTTTTATTGCTTTTTTTTTAAATAATGGTTTGAGTATACTTATCATTATATATTTAAAGTGCATGTTTTCAATTAAAGCAAAACATGTGTTATTAACTCTTTTATAGATTAGTTATTTCATAATGAACTCTTGTTATTAATGTTAATTGACATATTAATTAACTCTTGTTATTTAGTATGTAAGGCTAAGTATCCAACTCTTGTTATTAACATTTGCTAATTACTTTCTCCATCCCAAATTGTAAAACAATTTGAAATAAGATTACACATACCAATAGAACACAATAATGATACTTTACCAATTTAATTTTAAAAAAAAACTATAAAATTTTAAAAATACCCTTATATAATTAATTATTACACTACAATATCATTTCAATTCTCTGTCTATTTAAGCAGTAATATTAAAAAAATATCATTAATAAAATCTTAATTTTCTCAAGTTGTCTTCATATATTTAAAGTTTTCCTTTTTTGTTTTGGCCAATATATACTTCAAGTATTTGTCTTTAATTAATTTTTTGATTATTTTATATAATTTTTTGTGTTTTGTCTATAATTTTTAAATCCTTTATTGTAATTTTTTGATCATCTTTTATAATTTTTTAGATCTTTTCAGTCACTTTCTAACTAATTAATGGTTAAAAATAACTTTTATTTATGATAAGAACCAAATTTCATTTTTTTTCATGTTTATATGATAAATGAATTAAGGTCTTTGATATTATTAGATTTAATTCCAGAAGATAATTTGTTTATTTATCCAAGAAATTATAATAAAAATTTCTTAAATTTAAATCAAGTTCAAATCTTTAAACTTTTATGGAACTCAAATAATAAATTTGGTTCACATCTAAATCGACACTAATCCAAATATAAAATTAAGAGTTTAACTACTAAAGAATTGGAATGAGTGCCAATTATCAAATATTTTAAAATTATTGACTTTTTTAGAACTCCCTTCGCGGCCCAACCATTTTAACCAGTCCGGATGACAGATCATGGCTTCTTTCGTATATCACCAGAGGAGGGATAAAAAAATTATAAAATTGTAACCACTCTTTTTGTATGTATAATTTGTTTCAAAAGAATATCAATATAACTAGAATAAATCCCTTTAAAAGTCCTCAAAGGCTAACTAAACATTAACATTAGGGCAGTCCGCAAGTTTTGTACAAAACAATTTAAAAATTTCTAAGAAACTCCAAAAAAACGCATGAGATTTAAAATTTATTTAAAAAAAATTAATCATTTAATCATTATAATTTTAATCCAATTGTAATTGAATCCCTAAATTTTGACTCATTATAACTCAATCCTTAAAATTTTAACTCGATTGTAAATCAATCCTTAAACTTTTTCTCTTATAATTTAATCCCTAAAATTTCAACCTCTTAAATATTAATCTTTATATTTTAAAAAACAAAATTATAAAAATTAAAAGTATTTAAAATTTATTACTAATATATTAAATTACTAAACCCTTTTAATCTTTATAAATATTATAAATATTAAAATTTTAAAATATTTTAACCTTTATAATTTTATTTATTAAAATATAAGGATCAACATTTAAAAAGTTAAAACTTTAAAAACTAAATTATAAAAGAAAAAATTCAAAAACTAATTTACAATTGAGTCAGAGATTGAATAATAACAAGCCAAAGTTTAGAGACTCAAATACAATTGAGTAAAAACTATAATGACCAAATGATTAATTTTTTCTTTATTTAAAATAAAACATATATATTTATATAATGTAGTATTTATTTTAAAATAAAATTTTAAAATAGGAGATAAGTAAAAATAATGTCATTAAAAATCTGCGTAATTTATTCTCAGGAAGCAAAAGTCCTAGCTATCTCAAATATATATATATATATATATACACTTTTTAAACAAAAATTAAATTTGGCAGTTTACCATAAAAGGAAAAACAACTTGATCCGCTAGGCTCATAATGTTCCTAGTATTTAGTACAGTTCTATAATTGAGGGAACAAAAAATAGAATCTGGAGTTGTCATTCCACCCAACATGTCAGGACACATGAATCCTCTATTCTTTACCAACCATCAACATCACAACCCTTTCCAGCAAAAGAGGAGGAAAATCTTAAGCAGGCAAATGAAGCTTTTGATTATTCTTCCAGCTGCATGGCACAGTTTTCGAATGCTCAAAAATTTGAAGCAACAATTCTTCACAGAACACATAATAATTTTAAGGGATAATATGACTCTTAATTCCTAAACTTTCTCTCAGTTATTAACTTAGTTCTTAAACTTTGATTCATCACAACTCAATCCTTGTAGTTTATTAAGTTGAGAAATAATAGGAATTAAATTATACCAAGTCAAAAAATTATAAGGATTGAACTGTTCCAAATCAAGGAACTATAATGGTTGAGTTGTTTTGATTCAAAGTTCATTTGAGAAAATATTCAGGACTAAAAGTTATATTTTCCCTAATTTTAAAAAGCAGGACAATTTACCTTTGGAAGTAGTAGTAGAAGAAATCAGCATACAGCAATGTCTGAACAATGCCAGAAATCCACGCTGCAATAAAGCATCAAAAAAACTCAGCCAACTATTGAAGAAAATAAGATGATTGGGATTTGGGAAAGAAAAGAACTGAAACAATAACGAGATAATGTGGCAATGATCGTGAAGGAAAAAAATGACAAGATCGCGGACATCACATGTGAAGAAGTAATGTTCAGTCAAGATAAAATACTTTATTTCTCTTTTCGCTCACTAAACATTGAAGAAGTGAATCTGACTAAAAGGAACTTGGAATTTGCCAACTTTTCTTATTGTTTATGCTCAGTTTTAAGTTACAGACAGAACAATGAATTACTTAAAGAAGTTGGTTTGTTTTAGAGGAAGATGGGACTTAGGAGAAGGCACTGAGGAATATAGAAGATAATTACATTTTTCATAGCATTTACTTTCATAGGAGTTTACTATTCCTCTGTTCATCCATCCCTTGATCTTTACCTTGTTCCTCCAACATACAATGCATATAACACTCATAAGTTGGCTGGATGTTGAAGGCCAATAAATCACGAAAAGATCCAATTTTTCTTTCACATCCTAGATATTTATAGTTTTTTTTTTAATTCATGGCTTTTATTGAGAAAAATAATAATCAAAACAACCAGAATAAAAATCTCCTGTGATGATATATCTGAGCAGTTATTAGTATCCTGAGCAATCACTTCATCTGAATGCACCACATTCTCAACCAAATCCCATTTCATAAATAACATTAAACCACTTATCTTTGCTCGAGATTTACTTCAAATGGGTTTTGTGCCGTCAATGCAACACACCTTCAGCAAATATTATGACGGTCTTGCACAAAACCAGGCTCGTGTAATAGTTTTTAAAATGACAACGAACACTGAAGTATTGAGCAATGCTACAAATAAATATCCACATTTGACATTTGCATATAGTATAATATTGACAATAAAAATATGACATAAAAGTTGCAGTCTTGCAGATACCAAGCTACAAATTTTAGTTACTAATTCACAACATAGCCTAAAACCAAAGCAATTATGAAACACAGGGAGGAAGAGAATCATACGTATCCAATGGACATAGTGGGGCTCAGTAAAGTAGCGGTAGATCCAATTCACTATGTATAATGCTCTATACGCACTGCATTTAGACAGATAAATTAAGCGAATATTATCAGCTTTGAACTTCATAAGAATGTTTAGTTGAACAAGAACATACAGAATTAATATAAATTCACTTGCATAACTTGAACAACAATTGTATAAGAAGTAATTAACTGCAAGATGCCATAACAAAGCATTCAATGAAAAGGAATTAAAAAGAAACTAGAGAAATGCCTAAACTAATTTCCGTTGATGTTTTCTCTTTTGCGTAGAGTTCTTAATTTGTTTCAACAATAAAATCCAGCCAAAAGGACACCATAACAAATGACTAAAATGTGTAACCTTAAATGGTAGGTGTCTTGTGCAGCACTTACATGCCCATATCACATGGAAATCTAAAGAGGCAAAAATAAAACATCATTGATAGTTTCTAAATTCTGAAATGCCTAGATCCTGTATAATATTAATGTCGCATTTGTAAACACTGTCCAGGGAAAAATAAGGTTGGGGCTACAGCTGGACTATATCTGGACTCAGTCTAAAAAACAAAAATGTCGGGATTCAGAAAACATCAACAGAGCTTGAAAGACGAAACATCACATTTGAAGTCTGCCATATCCAAACTGGCAGGGAGGTTGGGGTCAGTTTAAGAGGGGAAAAAAGATAATGAACTATTAGTAGACTGTTCAAGTTTTGACACTCAGGGTTTCAAGGTATTGAGCTGAAGAGATAATGATAAAAACTGATAAGGCCCCTCAAAAATATAATTTTTTGTTTGCTTCCCATGGATAAAACCACATATGACTTGAGCAGAGCGAGTGGTGCCAAGATGAGAAACAAAATCAGTCAGAATATTCAACCAAATTTCAGAATAAAAGGCCATATTAGCTAAACATAAAAAGTTGCATGGAATGACTTCCCTCAGCACTTTACTCCATGACTAAATCAGCAGATTGGCAAGAAACCCCCTGGTAGAGAGAAATTGCAAATTACAGTTCTTATTTTATCACACACACTCATGCATCTGCCCCATTCCTTGTTTATAGTGTATGCAAGTCAAAAGTATTCCTAACATCGGCTACTAACAACTAACTAATCCAGACAAATGAATTCAGAGAAATACGCCCTTACTCTAAAATCCATAAGAATATGGTAGCAGATCCCTCTGACAGGTGGATTAAAAGTTAGAAGTACCATTTTGATAATAGTATGAGACATCAAATGAAATGCTATATCCTTGGTGAAACAAATTAACTTTTGCATATGGCTTCAGACTTCAATGATCAAAAACTGCAACAAAAATCAATATCTGATATTTTATGTACACAAAATCAATTACAAGTACATACTAGGATGGAATTAATCAGTAAAATGGTTGATTTAGCTTAACAAATCATTGATCAGTCACTTCAACATGTTCAGAACATAGAAGCTACCAGTAACAAGGTAAATGCAAAGAGCAAGAAAGCATATACATATCAAACAGTCTTAAAATAGAAAATGGAAATTGAGGCTTACCCAAGAAGAAATACATATTGTCCTGTTAAATTATCAATATTCCTAGTTCTCTGTAACAGTACTAGCTGAGGAAGTATGGCAACAGCTTCTAAATACAAGGAGAATGTCCACATTACCTGGTCAATGTACATGTCAACAGACAGAAAAAGTGGGGGGCTTAATGCACAATTACTTCTCACAAATAGTTTGAAGGAAATGCAAGTAATTTGAAAACTCAGAAAGATTCAATAGAAAACACATAGCAGAGATGCAAGCATACCTCCTTAAATGTGAATTTCTCATTAATAAGTAGGGCTAATAGCAAGCAGGGCAATACAAGGAAAAGATGACGAAAAGTGTCATGGTCTTTGTCATATGACCTACGGACAATCTTGTGGTGCCTTATGTACCATACAATAGAAAATGAGCTTCCCAAGAATATCAACTTCATCAAGGAGTTATATAAAGATATAAAATCAGTAAAGATATCCAAGTAGCGGGTAGCAAAAACAATAGCATAAAGCTCTTGAGTCTTCAAAGAAATACCTGCAGAAGAATAAGATGCATCACAAATCAGAAGCAGAAAGATGCACCCTACATACAAAAAGAAAAAGAAATGCACTCTTAATTTTTAATTTCTGTCCTCTAATTGTGAGTGTATCTTCAACATGTCCCACCCATCTAGAAAAAAAAATACAATAATAGGGGATAAAGAAACAGTTAATTAGGTAAATCCAATAGGACAGACATTAAAATTCGTTCATAGTCAATAACAAATTCTTACATAGTCATCTGAGTCTGTCTTGTACAAAATTACAATTATGCAACTTTGGACATTGCCAATTCTTACTCAGTAATCAACTTTGAGAGCCGTTTATTGAGTGCATGTATATTTCATATTGCAATGAGTTTAATAATTCAACTGCATCTGTTCAACAGATTCCCTATAGTGTACATCAGACTTCATTGCTCACGAATGGTAGTTTTTCTCACCTACTTATAAAATGCCAGCAATTTTAGGTAAGTATAGCACATCCTTTGTTGAGTTCAAGAGAAAAGGGTCAAGACTCGAGATGATTTATTCCCGAAAAAAAAAAAAACAAACAAAATTGGAGTATTTCACCTTACTGTCCTCAAGGTCGTTTGCATTAACACATAAAATCTAACAGACAACCCTGAAATATGTATTATAATATATCAGTTCTACCGCTTGGTAGATTATAGAACTAGTATCTGACAATACATATTTCAAACTGGTTAGCGTTACAAGTTCAATATAATCATTGAGCCATGAGCTAGTGCTTGAACTGGTTTAACGGTTAGTTAGGTTTTTAATGCCTTTTCTTTGATCAATTTAATTGTCAGACTGGCTTCAAATAACAAATATACCATCACATAGGCTTCACTGATCATCTTGTTGTCATCATTCAATTTCCATTATCCAAATTTACGAGTTTACCACGCATGCCTAACATTAAACTGCGACTGAACTTAGGAATTTGATCCATTTCAATTTTATCTTACAACAACAACAACAACAACAACAAGCCTTTATCCCACTAGGTGGGGTCGGCTACATGGATTGCAAGACGCCATTGTACTCTATCATTTATTAAGCTTTTAGAAATATTATTAATTAAGAGATCACGTTCAACAACTTCCAAGAGTGTTCTCTTAGGCCTTCCTCTACCTCTCTTAATCGGACTTAAAGTTATATGTTCCACTCTTCTCACTGGTGCCTCCCTTGGTCTTCTTTGTACATGCCCAAACCATCTCAACCGATTTTCTACCATTTTTTCCTCAATAGGTGCCACCCTCACTTTTTCACGTATGTGCTCATTTCGAATTTTATCTTTACGTGTATGTCCGCACATCCATCGTAACATTCTCATCTCTGCTACTCCAACTTTATGCTCTTGCTGTCCCGTTAGAGCCCAGCATTCACTACTATATAACATTGCCGGTCTGATAGCAGTACGATAAAACTTTCCTTTAAGTTTATTAGGCACCTTACGGTCACAAATAACTCCTTTAGCTTTTCTCCAATTAAACCACCCAGCTTGAATTCTATGTGAAATATCTCCACTGATTTCGCCATCATTTTGAATAATGGCTCCCAAATATCTAAACTTTTCCACTTGAGGTATAATTTGATCTCCCAATTTCACTTCCAAATTATTTTCGAATAGTCCTTTACCAAATTTACAATATAAATATTCCGTCTTACTTCTACTCAGACGAAAACCTTTCGACTCCAATGTCCTCCTCCATAACTCAAATTTGCAATTAACCTCTTCTCTTGTCTCTGCTATAAGAACTATATCATCCGCGAAGAGCATACATTTCGGGATTTCCTCTTGAATATGTTCCGTCAAAACATTTAAAATCAAGTTGAACAAATAAGGACTCAGAGATGATCCCTGATGTAGTCCAATCTTTATATCCAATCTATATCCCTAATACCAACTAAATCAAATTCCAGTACTTTTTACCCCAATCTCACATTTCCATAAATTCCAGACACTAGATGTATAGTTCTACACTTATCTATCACAAATCCACAATTGCACAGCGACGTTGCTCCAAATCTACTGTTCTTCAATCCAATCTACCAAGCAATCCATGGATTCTATCCATAAATTCACAATAATCCAAAACCCAGAAGCAGATAATCGACCAAATATTGAACATTAGCGCACCCGCAAGTTTCGAACAGAAATGTGCAGAGAGATCGTACCAGCACAAGATTTGATGGTGTGGATCTTGAGGAGCAGGACGAGGACGCTGGCCAAATGGGTCATGTCCCCAGCTAACCTGAATATATTCATTTTGGATCAGATCTGGGAAGAGACACTCTTGTGGGTTCCAACGAGATGAAGTAGCTTCTGCAAGTTTCGTTTTTTCACGCAGGGTTCTGTTCCGCTTCCGCACTCCTTCCTATTCGTGTCGCATCGGAGCAGAAAAGAGTTCGAATTGGAACATTGTCCGATTTGATTTGCGTTATTCGGTAGTTTCATTTTCTTATTTTGTTTTGCTTTTTGGTGATTTATCTTGATTTTTTGTCCACATCTTGTCCTCTCCAGCGTTCCACGTCCAATCAAATCAAATAGAGAAAATAAAGCAAAAAATTTAAAAAATAAATATATCAATTTGTAATCAAACTAAATTTATTACAAATAATTACGGTTGTGTCTTAAAAATAAATTAGTGATATTCAGATGTCGGACATATTACTTTTAACAAATAAGTTTTTTTTGCCAACAATTTTTAACTAATAAGTTATAAATATTAATTTAAATAATTATAAATTTAAAAATTTAATTCTAAAAAAATATTTTTATAAAGATAATATTTAAATTCTAAACGTGACTTTTATTTTCTAATTAAAAGTTTCGTTTGTATTTCTTTAAATAATTATTCAAAAAATATTTTTAAAAAAATTTTATCAAATATCTTCTTATTATTAATACCATTCTTTGAAACTTTATTATCATTATCTTAATTTATTAATATAATTCATTGTCTCCTAGAATGATTTATATATCAAGCTCAAAATGTATAATTTTAAAAAATGATATCAAATATGTAAATTATAGTATTAAACTCTACCTACCAATGAGCGCTTGGCCACAGTGGTTGGGACTTGGTCAGCATTTCTTGAAATCGTGTGTTCGATTCTTGTAGAGCGTAATAGTGATTAAAAAAAAGCCTCTAAGGAGATTTGTATCGTCGTAAGGTTTCTCTAAAGTGACATGATTTATAAATATATTAATTAATAATCAATATTTAACATGACATCTATAATTTATAATAAACTATATTATTTATAATCTAAAAATAGTATGGCTTACTCAAACCTTGTTTGGTTATATTTTATATTTTTACTTTATCAAAAAAATTATCTTTATATTTCTACTTAATTTTATCTTGTTATGACAATTTATAAGAAAAATATTTTTTTTATTTTGTCCATTGATGAGACGAAAGAGAAAGGGAGAGTGACAATAAAACTCTTCTAAAATGTATAAATAATAAGTTAGTCTCTCAAAATATCATAATTTTTTTAAAGTCTTTAAGAACTTTTCTGTTTATTAATGAATTTTTATAAATTATTAAATTGTTCTTGTTAAAGATAAATGATTTATAAGTTTTGTCTAAATATTCATAACTTTCCTTTTTTTATTCTCAATGATGCAACAACAAATAAAGAATTAGCATGCAAAATTGTGATTTGTTATTGTGTTGTTGTAAGTACAAGAAAAAAAGTTGTAAATATTTAAACAAAACTTGTGAATTATTTATTTTCAACAAAGATAATTTAATAATTTATATAGATTCATTAATGATAGAAAAGTCTCTAAAGACTTCAATGAAATTGTGACATTTTAAGGAATCAACTTGTCATTTGCACATTCCAGAACGATTTTATTGTCATTGTCCTAAAGAAAAATTAGAACTTCAATCTTAAAATAAAAAATTAAACAAAAAAACTGACTCTAAATTGAAAATTATACAATTATCCATTTCTTTCATTTTGTTTTTTTTCCCTACAAAGCTAGCTCTAAATCATGATGTTAGAATTTGGCTGAAGACAAAACTAAGTTCAGTAGTGATAGGTTTATTTTAGATAAAGAAAAAAAAATTATATAGAAAACACAATCTCACATGACAAAGCAAATAAAAATACGTCAATTCCAAAATTAAGAACATGCTACAAACACATTTCATGAAATCAGTTGTTTTTTTCCCCTTACCCACCAAACTTGCTTTAAAATTAAGCTTTGTTCAACTCACTGTAGGTTCAAACAAAACAAAACATCTTGTTAAGATTGGCAATGTCTTCACTTATTATCAATCCTACAAAGACATCTCATCTTAAAATAAATCCAAAAATCTTGCATTTTTAATCAAATTTGGAATTTATAAAACTTATGAACTAACTTAGATTCTATATATGGATTCTAATTTTCAAAAATTTCATGAAATGCACAAATAATATAATGTCCCATGAACTTTAATTATAATTAATATTTATTGTATATTGACCAAAACAAACACCCTACTTGAAAAATATTAAAAATTATCTCCTCATGATTGCCACCCATTAGAGATTAGAGCTCTATTATTGGTCCCTGGAACTCTTTATTTCATATTACCAAATCTTTTGGTCATTATTTATAATTTTATATTTTATTTGCATGTACTTTTTTACCCCATTTAACTTATTTTAAATTTTAATTCTCCATTATTTTAGTTCAATATGTCTTTTTTATTGCAAAAATACAGCACCTATCATATTATCTCTGTTAAAGCCAAAGTAGTGTTTTCTTCAAGTAGCTGCTTTTCACTTCTCAGTTTGCACATTTAGTTAGATTTTTTTTTAATATTGCTATCTAATGATGTTAAATTTAAATATTTTTGAACTCAATTGAGAACATCTCTCTCACAATTTTTTTTTTATATTTACACTAGCAAACTCAAGATCTCATATTTAAACAGTTATAATCTATTTCAATAGAACCAATGTTTGTTGGTAGACATTTTTTTTCCTTGGTTGTGTTATACATTAAGCAACCAATTGAAATAAACTAACTAGAGGAGAAACCAAAATGAAACCCAAACAATTGAATGAGAATGGCTAAACAAAAGTTGTTGAAGAAGTATAATAGGACTTTTGCATATTGGTCCAAATAAAAAGTTTTGAATGAAGATAGCTAATGGAATATGAAATAATGGATAGTTAGAGTAATTAGGGTTAATTTAATGTATTAGTATTATTCATTAGGAATATTTGAATAATGATATTTATCCATTAGTATCAAAATTTATTACTTATTTTATCATTGTCTATGATTTATTTATTATTCATTATTTCTAATAACATAAGATATCTAGACTAACTAGATACCTTATCATTATTTTTTAATTTTAGATAAATTACAACTTGGGTTTGAATTAATTTAGATTTATTATTTTATTTTTCCCACTCCTTCTTCCTACACTTGTAATACCTATAATACTTAAACATATAATTAACACACACTTAACCCTAAGGAAGAACTACCATGGTAATTCCAACTAATTTAATCAATAACAAAAGATATCATGGCATGAAAAGGATCAACCTTGATTATGTGAAAACTCAAAAAGTTAAGTAAAAAAATTATGTAGGGATAGGATCCCATGAATCATTTAATCTTAAAATTGAGTTTAGAAGGTCATTTAACTATTATAAATCAAAGTAAAAGTATTTTGGAAGCATGGAAAGTAATTTGAGTTGAAAACAAGTTAAAACAAGGTAAAAATGGTCATTTTTGCTTAACAGGAGTACTTAGCCATGACCAACACTTTCAAAAAAGATTTGGTTGTGGCTAACACCCTTTAGGATGTGGTTAAAGCATTCCTAAGCCCATTTGGCTGTGGCTAAAAATCTATAAGCCGTGGCCAAAGCCATCATGATAGCTTATAGCTATAAAATTTTGACAAGCATAACTTTTGAATCAAACCTTTGATTGAGATAATTCAAGTGTCAACATGTCAACAATTTGATAATCTAACTAATGATTTTAGTTTCATGTCAATCCAATCTCAGATGAAGAGTTTGAACACTCGAGACTATAATTTCATATTTTCACCTTTAAAACTATCAACCAAATATCCAAATCTCACACCATAAGCTATTAGCCCTCATAAGGGCTTGAATCACACTCAATAAGTCTCAATACACTTGTTTAAACAATCACAAGCATTAAACAACTTATAGTACAAGAATTGACCATCCAATCCACATAAAACTCATTTAAAGAGGGGGTGAAAATGTAACTCTTTGTATTCAAACAAAATAATCACCTAAATCATGTAAAACTCATTTAACTTGTCAAGATATACTTGTGCAAACCATCTTAGCACATTACCATAGTTAGATTAGGGGTTCGGACCTTATTATAGCTAAGACAATCCAAAATACCTAAATTTAATGTTTAAGGCTATGATTGCAAGTAGGCTTCAAATAAACACAAGTCAATATAAAAGACCCCCTAGTATTGGCATAATAATGTCAATTAAGCATAAGTCAATTAGAGATTTTATAAGATAAGCTCTAGTTCTTTGAACTCCATGCCTCCCCCTTTAGCCCAACCTTATTGTCTCCTAGAATGATATTAAAAAATAAAAGTGAGATTAAACAATCCCAATAACTAAGAAATTTAATTACAGCATATTAAGGTATGGCCCATACAAACGAATAGGCAATTTATATCACATAGGTCAACCACATATTAATTATATTATAACACAAGATAATATGCTGTATGATCAATGCAACTATTTTATATTCCTCTTTATATCTTCTAACTAAACCCATGGATTAACAACTCGTATAGGTCTAGTTTTTGTCACTGGATTAGCCTTACTCTCTAATTATGATGGGTTACCAAATCAAAGGCTCATGTACTCACTCTTGAACCATAAATTCCTCTTACTTAAATTTTAAAGTGTCATAAGTGCTCGACCCATACTATCTAGTCTAGGATTTGTGATAATACGCATTGTGACCGACATATGCCACATCCGTAAGTTGTTGGAAATTCTAAGCACATATAGTAATAAAATATGCCAACCATTATGCGCAAACTCAATAGAGGTCGTATCACATGGATTTACCATTTTAGTCTTCTATTATTTTAAGTTGAACTCACACCCATTATGATCATGTAAGGTCATTCAACATATGCAAATATATGCTCATGCATATTTCAATAACACAACATATTCATAAACAACAAAACTTATATGTTATCACATAGCCATAAAGCATTTTATCACTATTAGGCATGTTTACCATATAACATTAACTCAAAATCAACATATCAATCAACATGTCCACCCACCTTAAGCCAATGATAACTTAGTATAACTTATGGTTGCAAACACTATGATATACAATAATTAAAATTTCTAGTTACTTCAACTCTCGATCTACCTATTAAAAGTATTTGTAAATATTAAATGGAGCCTCT